TCTTTGGTTATGCAGACCGATTGTTGCAGCAGCTGTCCGGTTGGCTGGTTTCAGACGATCTTGCAGGTGAAGATACTGGATGTGGAAGTCTTGGGCTGGTGTGGTTACACGTGGTCTTCGTTTGTGAGGCCGGTTGGATGTACTGCCAAATTCTCTGAAATGCCTTTGGAGACGGCTTATGGTAGAGAAATGAACATTCAATTCACGGGTAACAGCTCTGGTGGACATCCCTGCAGTCAGCATGCCAATTGCATGCTCCCTCAAAACTTGCGACATCTGTGGCATTGTGCTGTGTGATAAAACTGCACATTTTAGAGTGGCCTTTTATTGTGGCCAGCCTAAGGCACACCTGTGCAATAATCATGCTGTCTAATCAGCATCTTGATATGCCACACTTGTGAGGTGGATGGATTATCTCGGCAAAGGAGAAGTGCTCACTAACACAGATTTAGACAGATTTGTGAACAATATTTTAGAGAAATAGGCCTTTTGTGTACATAGAAAAAGTCTTAGATCTTTGAGTTCAGCTCATGACAAATGGGGGCAAAAACAAAAGTGTTGCGTTTATAATGTTGTTCAGTGTAATTATGTAGGGCTGGAAAATCTCCCATCTGTCTTGGTTTTGATTTATATCATTCATACAACCTAAAACGCCATAGATATTTGAGAAAAGAAACGACCCAGATATATTGTACTAACCGTTTTTTAATGGGATTTTATGGATGAACACTTTGCTCTGGTTGATGAGGGAGTGAAATTCAGTGCCACAAACCCGCAATTCCGATTCATCCGATCTAATTTCATATAATAGAGACTAGAGCATAGCTGAGTGAATATTTGAACAAACAAAGTGGAAATCCTGTCTCCAACATGTGGAAGTGAAATAGGTTAATTCAGCGAGCTTATCAAAAATAATTATATAAATTATTTGTGGATATGAGGGACAAGTAGAATATTCAATTTTTTAAAAACAGAACCACCAACTCTGTGACTTCTTTCTCTTTGCCTTCCATATTGTTAATGTATTGTCTGGAGGTGCGGCACGACTCGGCTTGCATTAATCAGTTATAAGCACACATCGTAATTGTATTTTACATCCTCACATTTCACTCCTTGTTCCAGTAAATTTCAGTGTGCAGACATGGCAATTACTGCGACATTCCTGAACCTCAGCATTCACATCGCTAATGAGGACTCGGGGGAGAGAGAAAAAGACGAAGAGTGAGGACAGAAAGAGAGAGGCAGAGAAAGCCGTCTGTCTGTGTGTGTGTGTGTGTGTGTGTGTGTGTGTGTGTGTGTGTGCAACTCAATCAGTTTTGCAAGGCTCATAATCAAGCATCCCATTCACACCAACTGAAGGTGTCATACTGCATGTGCCTCAGCTGTCACCACAGAGACGACTGCCACCTCCCCCCGGCCCTCCAACGAACCTCATCTCCTAGACAGTTACGCTGAAACACCTTTCTTAACATGCCACGTATAACAATTGTACTTTATATAGCAGGCTGATTCTATAGCTTAAGCAGCCATGCATTAAGCAGGTCGATGACCAATTAATTAAACAAAGAAACTGATCACCCTGTACTAACCCTAAAATGCATAGCTCAATTTTCTCATCTTGAATAATATATACATATATGTGGGTCAAAATGGTCTGGGATAAAATATGATACATTTACTTTATAGCACTGCTTGTTTTGCCATTGAAATGGTAATTTAATGATTTAGACTGTAGTTTGTGGGTCATATTTTGCCTGGGGACCAAAATGTCTTAATTAACATACTAAATATGTTGTTTCAAACCTGTAACTTTCCTGTAACTGTGGTACACAAAAGAATATATTTTAAAGGATGTTTTTACTTTTTTGGCCATACAATGAAAGTCAGTGGAGTCCAAAACAACATCTGACCCCATTGAATTTCATTGTTTCATGAAAAGAAAAGAAAAGAAAAGTATTGTAAAAGACACAGTATTGGCAAAAAAAGAAGGTGTTACAATACTGGATAAATCATAAAGACATACTTTTGTTTCTTTTTGCACATTTTGTATATACTATGGACTTTCTATATATTCTATAGATCATGTGGTCTAACAGTTTTCATATTATTTATCCATATATACTCTGTGTGTGTGAAAGAAAAGTATTGTAAAAAGACACAGTATTGGCAAAAAAAGAAGGTGTTACAATACTGGATAAATCATAAAGACATACTTTTGTTTCTTTTTGCACATTTTGTATATACTATGGACTTTCTATATATTCTATAGATCATGTGGTCTAACAGTTTTCATATTATTTATCCATATATACTCTGTGTGTGTGTATATATATATATACATCCATATATATATACATGAATCCAAAAACTGAAAGAAACACTGGCCATTACTCTGTTCCTCCCTAGCCATAGGCTTACTGCAACACGTTGACCCATTTAAGTCCAGATACCTTGCTGTAGTGAGGAATAATATGATTTGTTCAAGGTTACCTCTTTCTTTGTCCTTCCTCGCAGATGGGTAGACGTGAATATGTTGTTCTGGCACCAGTGGCGAGCCGTCTATATAAATGAAATTAACTCTGTTAGTCCCTCAGATTCAGTCTGCATTTAGCTGAACTCCTTCTCTCCCTCATTAACTTTGGGAAGAGTAGTGTACAGGAAATGTCAGATGCCGTCTGGTACTTTTCCATCAGGGGACAGTCAGACGCAGGTGAGGTTTAACACATCTGAGATGTATAAGGGCTAGATGTTCAGCTGATAGTACATTTCACGAACTATGTACTCACTGAGTTATTCATGGGGACAGTTGATTTATTTTCCCCCTAGTCTGAAGGAAATTGGGATATTTGCCTTATGTGTAACTTTTTTATTTTATTTGATCTGTCATACTGCATGTGCCTCAGCTGTCACCACAGAGACGACTGCCACCTCCCCCCGGCCCTCCAACGAACCTCATCTCCTAGACAGTTACGCTGAAACACCTTTCTTAACATGCCACGTATAACAATTGTACTTTATATAGCAGGCTGATTCTATAGCTTAAGCAGCCATGCATTAAGCAGGTCGATGACCAATTAATTAAACAAAGAAACTGATCACCCTGTACTAACCCTAAAATGCATAGCTCAATTTTCTCATCTTGAATAATATATACATATATGTGGGTCAAAATGGTCTGGGATAAAATATGATACATTTACTTTATAGCACTGCTTGTTTTGCCATTGAAATGGTAATTTAATGATTTAGACTGTAGTTTGTGGGTCAGATTTTGCCTGGGGACCAAAATGTCTTAATTAACATACTAAATATGTTGTTTCAAACCTGTAACTTTCCTGTAACTGTGGTACACAAAAGAATATATTTTAAAGGATGTTTTTACTTTTTTGGCCATACAATGAAAGTCAGTGGAGTCCAAAACAACATCTGACCCCATTGAATTTCATTGTAAATAAATAAAATAAATACACATTTTGTGTTTCATGAAAAGAAAAGAAAAGAAAAGTATTGTAAAAGACACAGTATTGGCAAAAAAAGAAGGTGTTACAATACTACAATAAATCATAAAGACATACTTTTGTTTCTTTTTGCACATTTTGTATATACTATGGACTTTCTATATATTCTATAGATCATGTGGTCTAACAGTTTTCATATTATTTATCCATATATACTCTGTGTGTGTGTATATATATATATACATCCATATATATATACATGAATCCAAAAACTGAAAGAAACACTGGCCATTACTCTGTTCCTCCCTAGCCATAGGCTTACTGCAACACGTTGACCCATTTAAGTCCAGATACCTTGCTGTAGTGAGGAATAATATGATTTGTTCAAGGTTACCTCTTTCTTTGTCCTTCCTCGCAGATGGGTAGACGTGAATATGTTGTTCTGGCACCAGTGGCGAGCCGTCTATATAAATGAAATTAACTCTGTTAGTCCCTCAGAGTCAGTCTGCATTTAGCTGAACTCCCTCTCTCCCTCATTAACTTTGGGAAGAGTAGTGTACAGGAAATGTCAGATGCCGTCTGGTACTTTTCCATCAGGGGACAGTCAGACGCAGGTGAGGTTTAACACATCTGAGATGTATAAGGGCTAGATGTTCAGCTGATAGTACATTTCACGAACTATGTACTCACTGAGTTATTCATGGGGACAGTTGATTTATTTTCCCCCTAGTCTGAAGGAAATTGGGATATTTGCCTTATGTGTAACTTTTTTATTTTATTTGATCTGATCCAATCCAATCTAAGATGGTGACCAGTTAATGATCAGCCTACTTTGTTACAAAACCAGTTACTTTGTTACAAAACACTCCTAGCAGCTTAAGCTTGTCATTTTATATTGTAGAAATATAGTATTGTGAAGAGATCTTTCTGGATGCAGCCACTTGGTGTATTGGTCTATTTTAGTCTATTAAGATCTATTTTGTCTTGTTTTTTTTTCTCTTCAAATTAAACTTCTAAAAAGGCATATAAATGTCTGTAATGTACTGTATTATTTTCTTGATGTGAAATGCTACCTCTTAGATGTGTGTAAATGCCAGTGGTGTCCGGAAGTCTAACTCTTTCCCACCCCCAGTCTCAACCACTCCTCATTGTTCCCTAGTGCCTCCCCTCTTCTCTCAATTATTGATTCCTGTTGTCTGGTGCTGATGAGAATAGATCTGTTGTGTCCCATGGGGTCCCGCAGTGTCATCTGACTCAGTGGGATTTCTGTCAATTTGGGCTTTTTTTTGCAGGGGTGGGGATCACCGATCGATACAGGGGCTGGTGCACAGTCCACAGAGGGGTTGGTGTCCAAAACTAGGTCTTTCAGATGACCTCTGAGAGCAAAGTATGTTTTGTTGTTTTGTTTTGTCTGTTTTTACTTTTTGATAGTTTTTTTCCCTCTTTGTTCTGATTTGTTTTGATTGTTCCTTGTTTATTTGTTTTTGTTTTGTTTTGATGGTTTGATTTTATTTGTTTTTTTTTCTTTCTTGTTTTGCTTTTTTGATGGTTTAATTTTGTTTTGTTTTATGATTGTTCTGCTTTTATTTGTTTTGTTTTATTTATTCATTTTTTTGTTAGATTTTGCTTTGTTTTATTGTGTTGCTTTATTATTTTGCTATTTTTTCAATTATTAAAAAAACCTTGATCCTTTCATGTATAAGGCAACGATTTTAGTTAAATGTTATACACAAAAAAACATAAAACAATATACGTTACATAGCTGCAATCGCTTCATTGGCTGTTACATGTGATTGTGTGATTGCAAACATTGCCTGATCATCCTCCCTCCTGGGTGCGCAGCTGTCACATCCTGTTTGAAATTGAAAGCGTAATCTAAAATTGATGTGTAGGAAGCACATTAAAATCTACTGAACTACTTTTTACTGTTAAACATTTGAGCAAAATGCATGCCATAACTATGCAAAGGGCTTCTATATATACACTTGTCCTTGGAGATTTTTATGCTGTAAATGTGCACTCCAAAACTAGGTCTTTCAGATGACCTCTGAGAGCAAAGTATGTTTTGTTGTTTTGTTTTGTCTGTTTTTACTTTTTGATAGTTTTTTTTCCCTCTTTGTTCTGATTTGTTTTGATTGTTCCTTGTTTATTTGTTTTGTTTTGTTTTGATGGTTTGATTTTATTTGTTTTTTTTTTCTTTCTTGTTTTGCTTTTTTGATGGTTTAATTTTGTTTTGTTTTATGATTGTTCTGCTTTTATTTATTTTGTTTTATTTATTCATTTTTTTTGTTAGATTTTGCTTTGTTTTATTGTGTTGCTTTATTATTTTGCTATTTTTTCAATTATTAAAAAAACCTTGATCCTTTCATGCATAAGGCAACGATTTTAGTTAAATGTTATACACAAAAAAACAAAAAACAATATACGTTACATAGCTGCAATCGCTTCATTGGCTGTTACATGTGATTGTGTGATTGCAAACATTGCCTGATCATCCTCCCTCCTCGGTGCGCAGCTGTCACATCCTGTTTGAAATTGAAAGCGTAATCTAAAATTGATGTGTAGGAAGCACATTAAAATCTACTGAACTACTTTTTACTGTTAAACATTTGAGCAAAATGCATGCCATAACTATGCAAAGGGCTTCTATATATACCCTTGTCCTTGGAGATTTTTATGCTGTAAATGTGCAGTAGGTCATTAAAGGAACACAATTGAGAATGTTGTCTTGTCCCTATGATAGTAGGGGCCCCACTAAGATCTTATATGTTTTTAGGGACATGCCCATCAAAATGTTGTCTTGGGACCTTTTATCAATGGTCCTGTTTACGAATGCATGTACTGTATGCAGAATGTTAATGTGTAAATGGGTGGTTTTCACTGAGTGTTTGTTTACCGTGCAAGTCTGGCATGGAGTAGAGATGACAGCACTTGGTATCACATGCACAGTGTGAAATCTCTGTGTGGGTAGATTTATTTATGAGTGAGATGTGTTCATAATGTTCACACAATTTAACACAGCATCAAATGAGTGAGGTTTCACTTTGCTTGGCTTTTGTCTTTTTGAAACTCATTTGTGTATTTCTTTGTGGATATTCGTTTTTAATTTGCTAGAGTTTTCCTTATCATACTCATACTCAAGTGTTTGCTGGTCCTCCGGGATCCTTATTTAGGATGTGAGAATATAACAGGCCCTGTGTTGTGTTGTTCTCAGGTGAATATGTGGACAGGCAGCTGTGCCGGGACGCCATTCTTCCCATGCCTATGCTGTGTGAGGTGCCCTGCCCCAAAGACTGTGTGCTCAGTCCCTGGACTTCATGGTCTCTGTGCTCCAATACTTGCTCAGGGAAGAACTCAGAGGGCAAGCAGACCAGATCACGCTCCATTCTGGCCTACAACGCTGGGGACGGTAGGGTTTTTACTAATATCAAACCACTCTTATACTCCTTTTCCACCAAAATGATGTGGATTGAGCTGGTGTTTGGGCAGAGGATCTTCAAACCTGGATTTCCACTGAGCTGAACAATGATGTACCTTACTATGTTGCTGCATAGCCTGCTCTCAAACAAACAGTATAAAGTCTTGTTTATTAATCTTATGAGTATCAAAGACCTTTTGTAACATCTGAAGCAATTTAATCACATTTTTTTTATTTTTTTTTATATATTCACCTTTTGTATTAACAGTGAGAAGTTAAAATGAATAAATTATAATAATATTCATAATTCATAATATTCAATTCAAAAACATATAATATTCATCAATAATATATTACGGACAGTGAAAATAAAGTGTCTGGAGTTCATGAGTCTGAGAACATATACTATCATTCAAAACTGGGATTAGTATGAGTTTTTTTAAAGTTTTTTTTTCTTTTTATTCTAATATGCAGATTTTATGCTCAAGAAACATTTGTATTATTAATCTTAAAAACAGCATTTATTTGAAATATCTGGAGTTTTACTGAGAATATGTTTAACATTCAAAGTAATTATATTCAGAGATTTTATAAGCAGGTAGCAGGAGCTGCAGTCATTTTTTTTCAGCCTGAATCCAAAGTTGTTGTTTTTTTTTGTGGTTCATTAAGGCATTGCATTACTTGATGCCCTGTGTGTATCATATGCTTTCTTTTCCTCAGAGCATTATGCTGCTAAAAGTATTTAGCATTATAGCCCTTAATCCAAAACTAGACTCTCCAAAGATTCCTGTTTTTTTTTTTATAGATATAATGAGTTACCACCTTTTTTCTGGATTTGTATGTTAGACTTGATGTTCAAGTAGACATGAGCAGATTGCCGAACATCTTACCGCACTTGCCCCCCTTATGTTAGATTAACATTCTTCCATGTGCAGATTTGTAAAAAACAAAATCACAAGGTAATGAAGGTCTCTGAGCGTTAAGTGATTCAAACCTTAGGTGAGCTCAGGCTGTAAGTGTGTATCTGATGTGTAATAGACTGTTGGATAAGTGGTTGCTTTGGGCTAAAACCTCTTCCTTCCCTCCACCGCTCACCCACCAGAAATCCATTTCCACAAATATGCAGCTTGAGGGAACAGGTCTTGCACTGCTGACTGAGAGCAAATCGGCTTGGTTTGCTTTAACATCACATCATTTTACAGTCACGCTAGTGCCAGAATCAAAGGTAGTATGTTCAGTACATCTGTGGAGTGCGGTTGCTTTATATATTACAGTTTTAGCACCAATGTGTGACCACATATGCGCAATGAGATGCTTTCTGCCCTGTGGCAAATTGTGCTACGTGCTGCTGTGCTCAGATTATTAGCCTTCAAGCGATTCAGGAGACGGTGGACCAAATTGATGACAAGCGTCTGAGAAAGCAGGTGTGTGCTGACAGTAGCACGGAGTTTGGTAGATCATGTTCTGCTCACCATCTGCCTGTGTTAGGTGATGGAGACAATAGCGTGACGCATTGGTCATTTGCAATCCCACTCCAATTGCCTCATTTTAGTCTATTGAGTTTGTAGGCAGTGAGGGCCTCATAGAACAGAGGCTTTCAAACTGTGGTCACATAATGAAAATTTAAAAGAGAGGGGGGGAGAAGATTTGACAAAACTTTAATTCAGTTCATGTTATTAATATTAATTGAAGATGTCTGATGTAAATGTAACAAATTTACTGAATTTGATATTATTTCAACTAGTTTTTTTAAGACAATATGAAATTAATCATGATTATTTTATTCAGTTGACAGCCCAGTTTTTAATAGTAAGAAATGGGTGAATTGTAAAACAATATTAAACTGTTTTGGAGCAATATTTACTGTGGAAAGTCCATTACTAATTAATTAGCATTAAAATTCAAATGTTTTTACGTTATTTATAAGTTGTTTTTATATATCCACAAACATATTAAGCAGTACAACTATTTTAAACATTGATAATAATAATAAGTTTCTTGAGAACCATTAGGTCTTCTTGAGAACCTCATTTCTGAAGGATCATGTGACACTGAAGACTGGAGTACTGATTGCTGAAAATTCAGCTTTGCATCACAGGAATAAATTACATTTTTAATATATTAAGATAGAAAACAGGTGTTTTCAATTCTAATAATATTTCACAATATTAATTGGTGTGAGTAAGATACTTCTTTCAAAAGCATAAAAATCTAAATCTAACCAACCCAAAGATTTTGAATAATAGTTTACCTCTAATATGGGAAATAATTAAATGGTTAAGTGGCTAGAGCTGCTTTATATTCCTTATATTCCTTCCTTTAAATTCCTTGTCTGTCTAATATAAATGTATGCAATTTACAAAAAAATCTTATTTGTGATTTCATTGCTGCAAATTTTATCAGTTATAACTTTTGATGGTTGCAACCTCTACTTGCATAATGATGTTGAATCAAACTTTGGATTTAAAATTTTAGTCTCATAAGACTTATTCTTTGGCAGGTTGTGATGTAGTAACGTAACTTGCAATTACATCATCATTCAATTCTCAAGTCCTTCATTGCGACTGTTCAGTTTACAGATCTCCAGACTGAGCACCAGCATCATTTCAGTGGTAAACCAGTCAATGGACCCTTGTTCAGGGCCCTGGAAAACTTCTTTCACTATTGTCATCCCAGGGTATATAAAAAGGATACAATCTTAATGGATTGTTAAAATATTTATGATTTTACATTTTAATGCATGGTCCGATATGTAACACATATTTGCTCTTTCTAAGTGGAGGGCTTAACAATTTCAAATACACCGGTTCTTGAGGATGTCATGCAGACATCACTATGTCCTACAGTAAGAGAAGTTTAACACTAAATGTGGATGTCGGGAGCCGCAGTATGAACTGCAGCTCTTAATGGTGCAAAGATGGACCAAGAACATGCAATTACTCTGAGCTGTGCACAGACTTACTTTTGTAATTGTACAAAGGATTAGGAGTCACAGGTCAATAAATAACCAGAGGGAGTGTTAATCCCCATTTGAAACAATGTGATTCTGGTGCAGCTTTTTGAAGCTCTGGTAATGCATTGCCCTGGCATGCCCTGAACCACTATGAGATGCTTTAGAAGTAAAATAACCCTCCTTGTATAACTGTAAAGAATTTTTTCTCGCTTTCAGGGCCATTACTGTGGCTGTGCTGCTCACGGCAAGTGTTTTTTAATGGTTCTCACATGTCTAATGAAGTGTGTGATAATAGTCGATAACCTTTTTATAAATTAGATGCTGAAGGACTGTGTGCTTCATTGCTACAAAGGATGAGTCAATTATTCATTATTTTTGGTGCTCTTGAACAAGGAGCACTGCTTGATACATGGTTTGTCCATTTTTCTCATTCACCGGTTTGCCATTTTCTCATTGATCGGTGTGCAGTTGTTAATGTGCACCATTGAGATAATGGCTGACCACTCCATGGGGGACTCTGGTGCTTTACATGTGACTGCAGATTGTAATGAAAACCAAGCAAAGTAAATCTAGAAGCTCTTATTCTAACAGTCATGGTTATAGTAGCCTCATGCATTACACTCTTCTCATATTTCATCATATATATATATATAATTTTATTTTTTCTGTATTGGGGGTGTGGGGGAGGAGTTTGGTGAACTTATTTGAATGAATGTGTATGGTCTTGTTTGAATCCGCATAATTCGTCAAACTCACATTGTGCAGTATTTCTAGATGTTATATGTAGTCTACTTCTCTACAATTATATTAAGGTAGTCATTTAAAAGAATAATTCAGCCAAAAATGAACATTTGCAGAAAATGTATTCACCCTAAAGGGATAGTTCACCTTCAGTTGCTGGTCCCCATTGACTTCCATAGTATGGGAAACAGCAACTGAAGGTGAACTATCCCTTAAGGCCATTTAAGATGTAAAATATTTAGTTTCTTCATTAAAACAGATCTGGAGAAATTTGGCGTTAAATCACTTGCTCACCAATCCTCTGCAGTAAATGGGTGCCGTCAGAACAAGAGTCTAAACAGCTGATAAAAACATAACAATAATACCACAAGTAATCCACACATATCCAGTCTATCAATTAATGTCTTGTGAAGTGAAAAGCTGCATGTTTGTAAGAAACAATTCCATCAAGACAATTTTAACTTTAAAGGGGTCATATGATGCAATTTCAATTTGTCCTTTCTCTTTGGAGTGTTACAAGCTATTTTTTTTTTGTTGTTTGTTGGAGCAGATATTGAAGCAGGTTATGTATTCTGTTTATTAAACTCAATCTTGAGGTCTGGCACTTGATTTTATTGACAGATAGAGACTTTAAGTCGATGAGTTCTCAGCCGGTAGTTTTAAGTATCTGAATTTGGTCTTTCCTCGAAGGCGTCTACTTGGAAATAAATTATCTGTTTATTTATTCAGTTTAATAGTGGCATTATTCTGTCAGTGGCTGTGGAAACAGGGTGTGTAGCTCAGGGACCCCATGCTGGCAATGGAAATGAGTCTAGCTTTTTTCCTGGGGTTATTCATGTGCTTTACCCACTGATCTACACATTCATATACACACATGACCTGCATGCTGATCGTTATCGGATTTCATGTGAAAGAAGCAAGCATATCGGAATGATGCAGGGATAGAGAGAGGAAGGAGAAAGAAGTATAGTATATGAAGAGACATATAATGAAGATGAAAATGTTATATGTGAGGGTGAAATCACATTTACATTCTGCTGTTTATGTATGCATTATTGTGTAAAATATTTTTTTCTTCATCATTAAGCCTGCGTTTATTTGATAAAAAATACAGTAAAGTATTGTGAAATATGACCATTTAAAATAATAAATTAAAAATTAAAAATATTTTAAAATGTAATTTATTCTTGCCGATGGCAAAGCTTGAATTTTCAGCAGCCATTACTCCAGTCTTCAGTGTCACATGATCCTTCAGAAATCATTAATATGCTGATTTGCTGCTCAAATAATATTGCTTATTATTATCAATGTTGTGCTGCTTAATATTTTTGTGAAAACAACAATACATTTTTTGATTAATAGAAACTTCAAAATAAAACCTTTGATATAAAAATATTTTGGAAAATTATAATTGTCTTTACTGTCATTTGATCAATTTAATGCATCCTTGATAAATAAAATGATTAATTAAAATAATTAAAAAAAATTATACTGACCCCAAACATTTGACTGGTAGCATACATACATTTTAATTGATTAATTAGTATTTTTTATTAAACATTTTTTTTCAATATTATCAGCACAGCAAGTTAAGTGAGATGATATTAAATAACAAAAAATTGTTTTTTCTGAATGTCTTAGTATTTGGTTTGTTTCCCTTTAGCTTTAAGCTTCAGGAAAATCTGAGCATCTGTACATGCTGTTTTACTGTTTTTATATGCAGGTGTCCAGAGAGTCTACGTCCAGATACTGTAAGACCATGTCTTTTGCCCTGCAAGAGAGACTGCATTGTCACTCCGTACAGTGATTGGACACCCTGCCCTTCCACCTGCCAGACAGGTACTTTTTAATATACAATTATGGCCGGGACACACCAAGCCGACTTCAAAGAACTAGTGGCAACGAAAGCCGATGGTGTTGTCGCCTCACGTCTGCAGCGTCGGACCAAAAAGCTGCGCTCGAACAGACCGCACAGACTACAGCCGACGGCAAACTAACACGTGCGTTCTGCGCATGCGTGAGAGGAATTAACTGTCCATATCAGCAGCTATCAATAGTACATATTCGTCATTCAAAAGGAGAAACCAAAACAAAGATATACGAGATAAACGCAGATATATGAAACGTAAACAAAGCAGTGCTTGCTTACCATTTTGAATATCAGTACCATTGATAACTTTAATAATTTTAAGCGGCTCATGTTGTTATGAAAACATTTGCGTATTAGAATGATTGGGAAAGAGCACGTAACATTTAAACAGCCTTCTGTCTGTACCGCCTTCATTTACCTGCTTGTGTTCATCACTTTTGCTTTAATTCTTGGGCACTGACTCGTTTGCTAAACTGAACATCCAATCAGAGCTCTCACTCACGCCGACGGTCCCGACCGACGCCGATTCAACATGTTGAATCGGGCAAACTGCCACCGACGTGAGCCCGACGAGAGCCGACAAGTGGAACACACCAAACAAACTAGCCCGACCGTCGCTCGCCATTGGCCCGACGTTGGCCAATGGCCGACCGCCGGCTTGGTGTGTCCCGGCCTTTACATATACTATAAAACTTCTGATGCATCTCTTGAACTAAAGTAAAATAGTTTTTTAAAAAATGTTTCTCAAAGGCTGAAGTTTTATTGACATAAATACATAAAATTAATAAATATTGGTCACTTTCAGCATTCTATCAGGAGTGTTTAGAAACAGTTTCTTTGTTCCCACAATCGCTCTTTATCAACACTATAAAGAGGTTTTGTTGCTTGGCAACTCTGCCTATAGGAACCAGAACAAATATTATAAGAAGCTGCCAATATCTGAGCCATTTGTTATATGAAGCAAATAAGCATTGCATTTCTTGTTAAAACAATTTTTACCAGTGAATATCACACTCCAGTGTTTTTTAAATAAAATATTGACTTATTCAAGTTTCAAGTTTACTTTATTTATATAGCACATTTAAAACACTCCACCATTCGTCAGGACAGTCCTGGAGCACAAGACTGAACAAAGTGCTTCACAGTAAGAAACATCATCATAAAATTTAGTAATACAAAAACTGCAACCAGAAAATTAAAACACAGATAGGAAATACAATAGGCAAGAAAATAATCCTAGGGCTGTTCTGATCTCCACCGGCAAGTCATTCCAAAGACGAAGCCCAATTACTGAGAAGGCACGGTCACCTCTACGCTTGAGTCTGGTATGCGGAATTAAAAGAAGGTTCTGGTCGCAAGATCTTAGGCTTCTCGAGGGGATATACCGATACAGCAATTCGGTAATTTTAAAAAAAGTTAAAAACAAATAATACGATTTTAAAATGTATTCTAAATTGAACAGGCAACCAATGAAGTGCCTTCAAGAGCGGAGTGAAGTGGTCACTTTTTTTCTTTTTTAAAAGGAATCTAGAGGTAGCGTTCTGGACCAATTGAAGATGGGCAATTTGAGTTTTGGATATGTCACAGTTACAAAGAGTTACAATAATCGAGACGCGATGTAAAAACAAATAATACGATTTTAAAATGTATTCTAAATTGAACAGGCAACCAATGAAGTGCCTTCAAGAGCGGAGTGAAGTGGTCACTTTTTTTTCTTTTTTAAAAGGAATCTAGAGGTAGCGTTCTGGACCAATTGAAGATGGGCAATTTGAGTTTTGGATATGTCACAGTTACAAAGAGTTACAATAATCGAGACGCGATGTATTAAAAGCATGAACTGCCATCTCCAAAACCTTGTCCGTGAGAAAGTGTTTAATTTTTGCAAGTGTACGGAGCTGATGAAAATTAGACCCAATCACAGTGGAAATTTGCTTATCGAATTTTAGCGAGTCATCGAAAAGAACACCCAGATTCCATACCTGCGAGGACCTAAAAGCCGATAAAGGTCCTAGGTCAAGATTGAGGGCTTTCATATTTGCTGATGGACCGAAAACGATCACCTCAGTTTTCTCTTCATTTAAAGATAAACATTTTTGAGAGCGCCAGGATTTAAGATCGTCTAAGCAAGATGAGAGAGCAGTCATCGCAAATTTTTTTTTTTTCTTTCTTCCTAAAAGGTAAATAGATGTGCGTGTCGTCGGCATAAAAATGAAATGACACCCCGAGTTTTATGCGAGGACCTAAAAGCCGATAAAGGTCCTAGGTCAAGATTGAGGGCTTTCATATTTGCTGATGGACCGAAAACGTTCACCTCAGTTTTCTCTTCATTTAAAGATAAACATTTTTGAGAGCGCCAGGATTTAAGATCGTCTAAGCAAGATGAGAGAGCAGTCATCGCAAATGGATCATTCTTCCTAAAAGGTAAATAGATGTGCGTGTCGTCGGCATAAAAATGAAATGACACCCCGAGTTTTCCAGTATGCCACAATTCAGATTTAGGTTTGTGCTTGAGAGGCTTTAAAGGAGCGGTTCATTCAAACATTCATTACATGAAGCCAAGCACTATTTAACAGACTCAGATGTTCATCCGCATCCAAGTCCGATAACGGAGAGTCCAGGAGTAAATGAGAACAGGACTTAGCAAAGCATTGACTAAAATTTACACTGAACTGAGGAGAATAAACCCGAGAGAGAGATGGCGCTTTAGTAGAGACATGAGAAAGACTAGGAAGAGACATAGAAAATAAAATAGGCTTGTGATCAGAGAGCATATAATCAGAAACTGTAATATCAGTAAGATCAACCCCATAAGAAAGAACAAGGTCCAGAGTATGACCATGGATATGAGTGGGGCTTTTAACCCACTGTATCAGGTTAAAAGCATCAATTATATTAAGGAATTCCCTCTACAGAGGGTTTGACTGACAACAAACATGAATGTTAAAATCGCCCACCAATAAAAAACGATCAAATTTAGTGACAATGTTACCAATAAAGTCAGTGAATTGCTGTAGAAAATCCTTAACTGAATGTGGAGGACGGTAGATCACCCCTAAGCAGACAGAACCGTTCCAGTCAAGATGGAGAAGTTGAGCTTCGAAACTAGTATAAATATCCACAGGGATGGAGCGACATTGCGCACGATGAAAGTTTTTCATAACAGTCACTAACCCACCCCCTCATCCATTTTGGCGAGGGGAGTTAAAAAATGTGCAGTCAACCGGGACCAGTTCGCCGTCCTTAATCCATGATTAAGTTGTAAACATAAAATCCAAATTGTGTGAAGAGAAGAAGTCATTCAGCAGAAAAGTCTTGATTAAAACCATATTGGGTGGAGGGACAGCACCGGGGGAGCGTGACACTCTGCACAGCGGACGCAGCATACCAGGAGCCACTCCAGTTCTCCGGATATAGGGAACAGGGGAAGAACAGGTCGAAGCCACCGGTGAGCCTGATCCAAGAGACCCCAGACCACGGAGCCGCCATAGAGCGGCTCGAGAAAATGGCTTGAAATACAGCCTGCATGCAGACAGGCTTTCAGCTTGATCGCAAGTCCTCCCGAGACCCTGCGCTTCCTCCATGGGTTGTTAAGAGGCCAGCGGCAAATGCACTCCAGAACGTCTGTTGTAAAACGTTCACACTCCACATCCGACTTCTGAAAGCTAAAAAATGTTGATCGAATGTCGAAAAGAGTCTGGCGATCATAAACCACAATGGTGCCACAGTTTGAATACAAAACAAGCAACCAGACTATCAAATAAGAGAGCAGCAGACGGCATGCCGACACTGGCGCCATCTTTCCATCAAGATCATCAATTTTATTAAAGACCATCTGCTTGACAGTTTCTTCTTCACTGAACACTGAGCAGATTTTCACTTCCCTCATTGATTTTCTTCTTTGTAGTACTTGTTACATTTACAGGAAATTTTTTACTGACTTTTACATTTTTACAAAGAGAACCGATCTCAAAGTTTGTGCTTTGCAAAAGAACAGTGTGAAAACGCTATAAAAAGAACAAATAATCAGATGCGCATATTAATAGATGCCTTCATCCTGTGGAGGACTTCAGTCAGAGTATGAATCACTAAAATGAGTTTATTATAAATAAAAAGCTAAGAATTGTGGCCTTATTATCATTATTTCATTTTTCAATTGTACTTAATATTGAAGTCATTCAACCACAAAGCAGATAGTAGTTGTGATGTAATGCCATTTTCAGAGATATAAAGTGCTTTGGATTGGCTGAAAACCTTGTTAAATGCAGCACAGTCATACAGAGACGTGTGTACTGATTAGATATGTGAGTAGGAATGACGTTTTTGCATTGCAATATTTTGCAATATTTTCTATATTTATTCATGACAGTTTCATATTTTCTGGCCATCCTCTTGTGTATATCCAGGTGGTGCTGTCAAAAAGAAGCAATCAAGGAAGCGCATTATCATTCAGCTTCCAGTTAACGGGGGCCAAGACTGTCCAGAAGTGCTCTTCCAGGAGAAGGAATGTGATGCCTCATCTGCTTGTTCAGGCTACAGGTGAACATAATACCTCTTTTAAATTATAGTACAAAAATTTCATAAAATCAGTCTACACTGAAATTATATAAATTGTAAATGTAATATAATAATAAATGTAATAAAATAATAAAATAAAATATATTAAATGTGTTTGTGTGTGTGTGTGTATATCTATATATCTATACACTATATACACACAGTGTATATGTGATTTCATACAATTTTCTGTATACATAAAATATTATATAGAGCGAGAGAGGCCAGTTTTACATATGTGACCCTGGAGCAGTCTTAAGTCGCTGGGGTATATTTGTAGCAATAGGTTTTTGCATTGCAATATTTTGCAATATTTTCTATATTTATTCATGACAGTTTCATATTTTCTGGCCATCCTCTTGTGTATATCCAGGTGGTGCTGTCAAAAAGAAGCAATCAAGGAAGCGCATTATCATTCAGCTTCCAGTTAACGGGGGCCAAGACTGTCCAGAAGTGCTCTTCCAGGAGAAGGAATGTGATGCCTCATCTGCTTGTTCAGGCTACAGGTGAACATAATACCTCTTTTAAATTATAGTACAAAAATTTCATAAAATCAGTCTACACTGAAATTATATAAATTGTAAATGTAATATAATAATAAATGTAATAAAATAATAAAATAAAATATATTAAATGTGTTTGTGTGTGTGTGTATATCTATATATCTATACACTATATACACACAGTGTATATGTGATTTCATACAATTTTCTGTATACATAATAAATTATTATATAGAGCGAGAGAGGCCAGTTTTACATATGTGACCCTGGAGCAGTCTTAAGTCGCTGGGGTATATTTGTAGCAATAGACACAAATACATTGTATGGGTCAAAATTATTGATTTTTTTTTTATGCCAAAAATCACTAGGATATTAAGTAAAGATCATGTTCCATGAAGATATTTTGTAAATTTCCTACTGTAAATATATTACAACTTAATTTTTTATTAGTAATATGCATTGCTAAGAACTTCATTTGATATATATATATATATATATATAAATTGCTTTTGCACAATAGGTGGAAAACCCACAAGTGGCGCAGGTGTCAGCTTGTGCCCTGGGCCATTCGTCAGGACAGTCCTGGAGCACAAGAGACATGTGGACCAGGACTACAGGCTAGAGGTACAGAAAAACCCTCAACATCAACCTAAAATCACTACTAAGGTGCAAGGTGCAACATCTTTTAATGTCAATAAAATGTAAATTTTGTAGGTGCGTGTAGCAATGTTTCACATTGAAGCTGGGGAGATGGGTAAGCGTGTGGTAAACGCATGAGATTGGTAGTAATTTGATCTGTGACTGAGTGTTACCATCAAAGTGTTGTGTAAGCGCTTCAGGATTTAAATGAAATGTTCTGTAAGAGATTCGGGAAGCTGTCTGAAGCAGTCACAAGTGATATCCTTTGCTCTGACTCTTACCAGTAAACCCTTTCAGGGTTCAAATGCAGGCTATTAGTGTGGTATTTTGAAAAACATATTTGAAAATGAAAGATGAGAGTCTTGTGCTATACAACTGGAGACAACTAGAGATGCATTCACCGCATATGGAAGGTTCCACTGTCATAAAAGCGTTTTATGTGGGAACCTTTAACTTGGGTTAAAATTTTAAACTGTACTAAAAGAGAAATGCAGTATCTTGCTTATAAAAATGGATGGTGTGAGCATATTTTGGCCTTTAAGTGAAAGAAAAAGTACAGTCTGCAGGTTTTTCTTAAAATCACATACAGTACTGCAGAAATCTTCTTTACAGTAGATATCAACTTCTCGGCATTGCTTACGTTAACAAACATTTTACGTAATAGTATCCCTCACTATGCCGGCATGACTGAAAAAGCAATCCAATACAATAGCTTTTACCCTCATTCGGTGATATAAATCTGGATCCGTCTGGCTGCTTGAGTCAATAGGCATTTAACTGCCCTCTCGTGTAATCCATCACAAGATAGTTATCTTTATTCTATATGTGCAGCTTTATAGGTGAGAGTGGACTGATATTTATTTGTATTAACTTAAGAGAAGGTTTTTTTTTAGTTTTGTTTCTTTTTCTGGCGGTACTATTGGTTTACTATTGGCCTTCGTCTTTTCTCCCTCAGCCGTATCATGTAAGAAGTTGGATGGTGGACCTGCAGACGTTGCGGCCTGTCTTAAGTTTGCGGGTCCTATGCCTCAACTCACTCAGTCCTGCCAGCTTCCATGTCAGGATGACTGCCAGCTGACTACCTGGTCCAAATTCTCATCCTGCGCTGCTGATTGTGTGGGTGTCCGAACTAGGAAAAGGACCCTTGTTGGTAAGTGCTGGATTTAGTGAGTCTAAATCTTAAGGCTTCCTGATGTCAAGTCATCAAACAAGCTCTTCTCACCTACATCTTTGATGTTTTACAGCACATTTGCGTTATGATTCCTTCAGATGCATTTTAGTAGCTAGTGTCACATGCTCCTTGATCTAATATGCCAATTTGCTGCTCAAGAAACATTTCTTAATAATTATTATTATTATTATTATTTTTTTAAGTTTGATGACGTGTGTATTGTTTTACAGTGGTAGTGAAAAAATCATGTCTCTTGTGTGATGACGATTGATTAATTTGAGCAAAACCCTCTGTGTTCCAAATACTTTTGCAAAATGTTTTTTGTTAGATGCATATGCCTGTACCTCAGTTGAGCCAGAAATGTGGTTTGACCTTTAGTACAATGTACCATGGGAAGCTTAGTCGGTTATTTAGAGGTTAACAAAATACAGTGCGTGTGCCAAAGACCTATTTGCCCTTTAGATGACCTGCTGCAAGTCAAGCAACTTTGCAAAGGGATTACATAAGATTAGTGCAATATGTCTTTCAATTTGGATAAGTCTACTTACTCATGATTACCAGATCAGTATGTTTTGACCAAAGGAGGATCATTCTGTTAGCAGTGTGTTCCATATCATATTATTACAAAAGATTTATTTCCCTGAACATGAAAGCATATTTAAATGGATAACATGACCTTATGACTTTTGATCTAACATCTTAAAATAGTGTATGTTTGTGTGATTTTTCTGGCATAGGTAAAAGCAAAAAGAGAGAACAATGTAAAAACACACAGATGTATCCTCTGAGTGAAACCCAATACTGCCCCTGCAACAAGTACAATGCCCAGCCCGTGGGGAACTGGTCCGACTGCATCCTGCCCGAGGGTGGGCGAGTAGAGGGCCTTTTGGGTATGAAAGTGCAAGGTGATATCAAGGAGTGTGGCCAGGGTTACCGCTTTCAAGCCATGGTGTGCTACGACCAGGACAACCGCCTCGTGGAGACGTCACGTTGCAACAGTCACGGTGGGTGAAAAAAACGTAGGTGTATCATTCCTGCACCACTAGTGTCATTGTAAAAATAAGGATTAATTTATCTGCCTATCTGCCATTGGTCAGACAAACAGATTGTCCCGCCCCATACTCGCGTCATTGGTTTAGCCAGCGTTACTGTGTCGAGAAGAGTACATTTTTACACATGTTTTTGTTTGTCTTTTTTTTATTTTTTGACAGAAATATCATCTTGTAAATTTAGGCGATATTTTATTGTTATATTCATTCGTTTTGTTCAACTTCTTTTTACACAAAATAACCATCCAATAAAAATATAACTTTTATTTAAAAAATTTGTTTATATATATATATACAACATTTTTTTATTAAAAAATAATACAAAATAATAATACTACACGAATAATACTAATACCTCTTCAAAATAAATACAAAATAACTTTACAAAAATAACATTTCATGTGAAGAGAAATGTGAGTGGAAAATTAAACCAAATATTTTTTTATGAAAACAGATTTCATTTATATAATACAATTAGCCTCAACTGAAATAAAAGCCTTATCTGTTTTCTCCTATTATTTAAAATGCAGTCAGATTTTTGCACAGGGAAAAATTCGTTTAGATTAGAGAGTAGTTTTGTCTTTTTTGTCTCATTTTCAAGTAAATCTAAATATTCTTCATACTATTCTTAAATTGACTATATATCTATTATGTTAATTTAAGTTATATCAAGTCTTGTTTTCAAAAAAAAAAAAATCTAAATTGAGAAATCTTGTTTTCCCTTTATAATAAATGTATTTTTCTTACCCCATTGTTCTTCTTGTTTTAAGCATAAACTCACTTTTTTGTGAGAAATTTGTCAGAAAACAAGATGTACAGTAATATCCTATGTAATTTTGCTTTTAATTACATAATGCACGATTGAAGCATTCATATCTATCAAAATCATTCCTTATAGTTAGTCCATCTCAAGTAAATAACGCAAAGAGCTTGTCTTAATAGAAAATCAGCTTTCCGCAACAGTGTTCGTGATCTAATTGGGAGCGCCGCACCTCTTGCCACCTCCTGCAGCAAGGAGCTCACTGTTAAGGCCTCTCTCTTTATGAGTCACAATCCTCTAGTATGGATTGTACGCTCTCAGCTGGAGGCTTGCGACTGACTTAAAAACTCGGCATTCCTAGAGTGAAGATGTGCTCTTCCTGCTTCCTCTGAGACATCCCTCACTCCAATCAGACCTCATACCCCTCATGATTTGAAGCATAGTTGCCATTTTGTGAGGCTGTCAGACTGACATGTTGCCCAAGGCGATTTGTAGGGGGAGCGGGCGGGGGGTGGGGGGGGGTGGGATTGGGGTTGAGCGTGTTTAATCCAAATTTTTGTGATATGGATTCTGGTTCAAAAGTGTAACTATATACAGATATCTTGACTTTTTTTTTTTTTTTTTTTGATGGTGTGTATATTCATGTCTGTGTATAAGAATTATTTTGTGTTGTCCAATTTATTATTGATACAGGCTATCTAAGAAAAAAAAAACTGAGTTTTGAATGAGAAGCTGTTTAACAATATTAAGGTGTTTAACAAAATATTAACAATAATTTACTTTTTAATCATTAAACTTTATTAATTTAGTGCCACTATAAAAAATGTCAACTGTGTTCATTTAAATTAGATTTCAATTTCTTAATTTTAATTTTAAAATGACATTTTCTAAAATTTACAATTACAAATGATCTAAAATGAAGATTTTTCCCACCATTGGAGCAGTTAATGTGGAAGCCTCTCTCTTCCAGAAAATTAAAAAACTTAAATAAAAAATAAAAACTTTTTATCTAACAATTGTGACTTTATCACTATTATGAATTTAAATTTCACAATGTGGACTTCATTTCTCAGAATTGTAAGTTTATAACACATAATTCTGACTTTATTTCTCTCAATTCCGAGTTTATATCTCACTTCGGCCTTATTTTCTCAGAATTGTAAGTTCATAACACATAATTTTGACTTTATTTCTCACAATTGTGTTTATTTCTCATGATATAAGTTAACATCTCACAATTCTGACTTTTTCTTGGAATTCTAAGTTGACAATTTGCAGGTTTAACTTTTTAATTAGCACAGAATTCTGAGAATAAAAGTCAAAATTGTGAGATTCAGTATAACATAAGAATTGTGAGAAATAAAGCCAGAACTGTGCGACCAAAAGTTGCAATTACCATTTTTATTTCATGACAAAATTCATGCTTTGAATTGACTTTTAAATCTTTTTTTTTTTTTTTGTGATGTCTGTTATTATTATTTTTTACCACAATAATATATTTAAATAATATTTCAAACATTTTGAGTAAATACTAAATTGTATATTGGTGATCATTTATAAATACCATCTACTTATGTACCATTTATTCCTTTGCTTTTTCATCAGCAAACTTCCATCATCATGTTTGCGCAGCTATTGCAGCTTTTTAAACATCAATCATCCAATTTAAATCAGATATTTGTGTGCTTGTAGGTTTGAAGGAGCAAAGTATTATGCTGTTTGAATAATCCTCTGAAATGTTCAGGACTTGAGCTGTCTAACATAGCTTTCCCGTTCCAGAAACAAACTATAACCTTTGCAAGTTGTGATGTAAAATGAAACTTCAGCAGACCATATCAGTGCAAATGCCACAACCTTGACCTTAATACTGTTTCATCTGTCACAATTTATTAGGCTTACTCCAGTAACCAGCATCATAACTGTATCATGTTGGTTTTACTCACTATAATAGAAATGCTAAGTTTCATTCTTCTCTCTTTTGGCTCTTGAAGGTTACATAGAGGAAGCGTGTATCATTCCATGTCCATCTGACTGTAAGCTCAGCGAGTGGTCAAACTGGTCCCGTTGCAGTAAGTCCTGTGGCAGTGGAGTCAAAGTACGGTCCAAGTGGCTTCGGGAGAAACCTTATAACGGTGGCAGGCCCTGCCCCAAACTGGACCATGTTAATCAGGTATGCAGGGACCCGGTTATGTTTTTGTAATGAATATGTGCTTGTCTTGTTTTAATGATGAATTACTGGGGTGCTGTAAATTATTGATCAAAGGACTACACGGAATAACATGTTTCTTTAATGCAGAGCAATGGGGTTTACTAATATGTTCATATACTGTAATCATGGGATATTGTTTGTGCATCATAGCTTTAGATCATTAAAGATTATGTGAATTTCCACAGCATCAAACGATCTTCTGAGGTTTTGGAAGTGACTAATGAATGGCATGTAACAACTTCTCTGTTTTCCGCATTTCTCCCTTTCATCTTCTCTCTCTCTCTCTTCTCATGGCGGGAATCCTGCAACAGGCTCAGGTAAAAATCTCAGGTTTTAAATGATTGATGATGGTGCACACGTGATTAACCAATTATTTTTTTAATGATAATATTTTGATGATAATCAGTTTTGATCAATTATTAATTCAAGATTTTGATAAATGTATGGCTTTGAGGTCCAAGGACATAGAAATGATCTCAAAAGTATCATTATAAACCTGATTGGCTTGGCTCATGAATATTAAGTAGGTGATAGATTAAAAAGTAGCTTTTTAATGTTTGTTTTCTTGTTGAGATATTTATTAATTCAAGATTTTGATAAATGTATGGCTTTGAGGTCCAAGGACATAGAAATGATCTCAAAAGTAACAGGACTCATTATAAACCTGATTGGCTTGGCTCATGAATATTAAGTAGGTGATAGATTAAAAAGTAGCTTTTTAATGTTTGTTTTCTTGTTGAGATATTTTTAATGAACATCAGTAATAACATAAATTAGTTCATTTTAGATCATTAATTCATATTAGTTAATGTATTATCTACCGTTCAAAAGTTTGAGGTTGGTCAGATTTTTTTTTATGTTTTTGAAAGAAGTTTCTTATGATTAGCAAGGCTGCAAAATACAGATATATATAAAATACAAAAAACAGTAATATCGTCGGGCAGCGCGCCGACATGTAGTGCCTTTGCACTTTGGGCATCCCGAGTTCGAGTCCCGGCTCGTGGACCTTTCCTGATCCCACCCCCCTCTCTCTTTCTCACCCCCTTCGCTTCCTGTCGACCTACTGTCCTATCTAAATAAAAGGTATAAAATGCCAAAAAAAAAAACAGTAATATCATGAAATGGTATAAAAATTTCAAATAACTGTTTTCTAATTTAACAAATTAAATATTAAAAAAATTTATTAATTCCTGTGATTGCAAATCTGATTTTTTTAGCAGCCCTTACACCAGTCTTCAGAAATCAGTCTAATATACAGATTTGGTGCAAATGATTTTGGTGAAACCTTTTTTTTCAGGATTATTTGATGAATAAAAGCATTTACCTATTTATCTAAATTAATAAATGCTCTAAATAATTGTTATTTCACTGTTAATTCATGATAACTGAAGAACGAACAAATGTTGATTGAATAAAACTGGTAAAGTGTACCAATAAAGCTTTATAAATAGGATTATTCCCCAAAAAGTTGGCGAACAAGCTGAAACCTCTGTGGTGTTTCTCAGGTGTATGAAGTGGTACCCTGTCTGAGTGACTGCAGTCAGTATGTGTGGGTGGCTGAGCCGTGGAGTGTCTGGAAGGTCAGTAATGTTGATCTGAAGGAGAACTGCGGGGAAGGTGTACAGACGAGGAAAGTTAGGTATGACTGACTCAAACAACAACATTAGCAACAGTATTACTACTTAACACTCAAAGTGTCAAAGAACAATCAAAGTTCATGGTGGTCCTAACAGATGTTTCTTTTCATGAAGGTGCATGCAAAACACTGTTGATGGACCTTCAGACCTTGTAGAAGACTATCTCTGTGATCCAGAGGAGATGCCGCTTGGAGCCCGAGAGAGCAAGTTGCCCTGTCCTGGGGACTGCGTTTTGACTGATTGGGGCCCTTGGAGTCAATGCCTATTGGTGAGAGGAAACATTGATCAGGAGCACATCTAATGTTCAGTATAGCACACAATCCTATTTTCCCTCTACAGTGTTGTGATGGATAATCAGTTATTCCATGCGTGGTGTGTATGATGAAGCTGAGTGCAACACTTTTCAATGCAAACGCCCCCTGCAAAACCCAACCTTTATATGATAAGTTTAAATGCATGCAGATTAGCCAGGCTGGAACCTCTTCCTCCTATTTTTCCATCTCCTGCAGAGGAGGATTTGAGACACAGCATGTTCTTCAGAGCTGCTCAACACCAATCAAACATTTTTGATCAGCCATGCACAGGCAAATGGTAAATACAAGGCAAAATAAGAAAATTGAGGATGGTGTTGTGTATGGCAGGGGTTGGCCGCTCGGAGTGGGTTGCGAGTTCACACAACAAATAGTTTGCAGTGGCATAAGTGTGTGTGTATAGGTATTACTGAGGAATCTCTCGGGGGGAGGGTTACTCACGTCTGTCTCAGTGTGATTCCCATGCACACTGCCACCAAACTGCAAGGGTAGCTAATTGCCATGGATACTGAGAGTATCCCTGTGGTGAAAATGCGGGAAGGCTTAAAACATCTTACACATGACATCAGAGAGGAATTTATTTCCCTCAGAAAGAGCTGCCAATGTCTGAAATAACAAGGGAAATGTGAAAGCGAAATTAATCTGCTGCACATATGCTGAATATTTCAAGTCCTTTCTTTTGTCCATTTGATTGTTCTTTTGTTGTTCGTTGATCATCGTTTGTTCATTGAAAGCTTTGTTTTGTTCTGTTTTTTTGTTTTTTTTGAAGCCATGCAATGTCAATAGTACAAGACAGCGGACCGCCAGCCCTATACGTCAGCCTGGGGAAGGGAAACAGTGTCCTTCAACTACAGAGAAAGAAACATGCACCCTGAACACCAACTGCTTCCATTACTCCTATAATATTACAGGTATATATTGACTGAAATTTAACTAGAACATGCTGGCTACCAGATACATGCGAAGACTAAAAAATCACTATATGATTTGACAAATGTGGCTATTCATCTGTCACCTGGCCTCTTAAAGGGATAGTTCACCCAAAAATGAAAATTATGTCATTATTTGCTCACCCTCATGTCATTCTAAACCCGTAAGACCTCCGTTCATCTTCGTTACACAAATTAAGATATTTTTGATGGAATCTGAGAGCTCTCTGCTCCTCAGCAAGGAGATCGGTAAAATAATCCATGTGACATCAGGGGTTCAACCATAATTTTACGAAGCTACGAGAATACTTTTTGAGCGCAAAAGAAAAAAAAAAACGACTTTATTTAACAATTCATCTCCTCCAGCACGCAGATATGCTGTTTACGTCGTTTACACTTTGAGTTGAACGAAAACAGCGTGCTAAATGTGCTCAAATAGCACTGAATAGTTACTTCTTGAGCAACAAATCAGCATATTAGAATGATTCCTGAAGGAACATGTGACACTGAAGACTGGAGTAATGGCTGCTGAAAATTTAGCTTTGTCATCACAGGAGTAAATTACATTTTATAATATATTAAAACTTACTGACCCCCAAACCCCATTAATGAAGAAAGATGATTATGGGATCGTACAACAGAAGAGATCCCTTTAGATCTTAACATTAGCTAACACTGCTTAAGAAATGAGTGGTCATATGCTCTATAAAATCATGTTTTTAGAAGAAAAATACATAAATACCTATAAGTGCTTGCTCTGTTGTAATTTTAGTCACACACGTTTTGAAGTTTTATGAAGGTTTTGTTATTTAGTTTTTTGTGTTGCCATGCAAAATAATCGTTCTTGTGAGAGAAGAGTTTTATTGCAAGCATCCCCTGTGTGCCACTCTTAAACAGAAGGATGCATTCTCCCTGAAATAGTCTACACTCCATTTCTCTCTATCCCTCTCCTCAGCCCTGCAGAATCGATTTAAGAAAATCAAGAGGGGGAGAGATGAATATTCAGAGTGGTTTCAGGGCCTGGAATTAGGCTTGAAAAATGCCTGGCAGATTAAGTTATTCACAGACGGGTGGAACATTACTACACAGAAAGAAAGACTTTCAGGTCACATATCGTTTTTGGCTTCCATTGGAGAGGGATTGAGTTACCTGAGATTAGTGTGTGTGTGTAACATCATGAGATAATTCACTTACTGTAAAAGCCTTTATTTCATTCAAGGAGTCACTTTGCTTGTTTTTAAAGCATAAGATGAGCATCATCTTTAGCAAGCATCCGAATAACTAGGGAGTTGTGCTTCCAGTATATGAGTGAATTTTAAAATAACATTTGCCGTGTCTTATAGAAAATGTTGTGTTGCAACAACAAATACTAAGGGTTTTAAAACTTTAGCAATGCTACAATGCAGCATCGTGAAAAATATCTGTTTTTCTTTAAATGTTTCTTGTAGGGAAGCTCTGGAGAAGGAGAACTGTGATCCAGGCCTCTCAGGGTGATGGGCGGCCATGTTTCTCACAGCTGGAACAGTGGAAGCCCTGTCCTGTTAAACCCTGCTACAGCTGGAGATACAGCACCTGGTCTCCATGCAGATCTGAGGTGAGTTTCCTGATGAGTCGCTGAGCTTTCTTTATTCATTTTGGACAATAAGCTGAATTAAATATTTTAAAATGTAGTTCATGGATGTTTTTTTTTTTTAACATATCAGGCATAGAAGTGTTAAGGGAAAAAGTTGTATAGGCAGAAAAATGTATAGATACACTGGCGTTCAAAAGTTTGGGGCAAGTAAGATTATTTTTTCTCTTTAAATGAAATTAATTATTTTATTCAGCGAGAATTGTTCAAGGCATTTATAATGATGTTAAAAAAATGATTTCTCAAATAAATGCTGTTCCATTGAACTTTCTGTTCAAAGAATCCTGAAAGATGATCCTAAAAGCACAACTGTTTTCAACACTGATAATAAGACATGTTTCTTGAGCAAATCAGCATACAGTATTAGAATGATTTCTGGAGGATCATGTGACACTGAAGCCTGGAGTAATGATGCTGAAATCTCAACTGTGCCATCACAGGAATAGCTGGTTGTGGTGTGCATGATACACACATCTTGCTCATACAGTACATTGTCGTACAATATTTTCGCATATGTATGCATGTACAGTATTTTTATGTATGCATATATAGTCCTATTTTCCCAACATACTGAATTTATTAGTATATGTCAGTAAATAAATGAAATAAATGCTAAATGAACCACATTATTTATTTAATAAAGGATCTTAGTTAAGGTGCGGGCATATTTACCGTTGCTTGACTAGGGTGAAATCCAGTCATTTCAATAGGAATCCGTGCGATCAGGAGTTTTGCGTGAGATTTGCACAGATTTTCAGATGCTCAAGTCGGTCATGCAAATCCGCCACACTGACCAACAAAAAGCTGCTTGTGACCTGAGCTTCATATATCTCTACGTTACCGACAATGAACATTAGACTTGTTGTTGCATGCAAAATTTAGCTGAAATTTTACTAATGTGACTGTAAGTTAATGCGTAAAAAAGTAACCTGATTGTATAAAACCTATGTAATGCAATGAGCGTTTTATTTTGCAAGCCGATATGAACATCTTAAGAAGGTTTCATCTTACTTGAGGCGCCTTTCCCTATAGTAAACCACCATCACTTCATTTCATCTGCAGCAGTGTTTAGGTATATTTAGAATATTCCCCAATCCTCTCCTGCTTTGGCCTTTCCGCAACGTTTCTGCTGTCGTCTTCCTCCTGTCATCAGTCTGGTTTTCAGGACCCAACAGGGGGTTTAATTAAAGACAACAGACAAAGCACACAGCCTCTCTGTTCTCTCCTTTCTTCCCGTCTCTCTTTCTCCTTCCCCCCTCGTACCTCATGCCCCCGTCACAGTGCAGGCTGTGAGAGAATATTGACTCTGGCCTTTGTTCTCGGATGCCTGTCTCTAAAGTGTCTTCTGACAGCCCGCAGCAGTCTCTAGCAGCAATGCTTCACTTGTGCCTCATGTTTTTAGAGATTTTCAGTAGCTATGAAAAAATAATGCGGGTAGCTGACAGTGCGAAACATGAGGACAGAGAAACAATGTTGGCATTTCTTCCTGCCTCATTTTGTGTCATCATGAGAAGTTTTGCTCTTTCGAGGTTTAGAGCAACAAAGAAGCTGCTTTTCTGTGTAAAGTTCATCCTCAATCTCCACTAGGACTACAAAAAGTTTATTTATTTTTATTTTTTACCACAGCTGGTGTCCAGTTGTAGTCATTAATGTTAAAACTCCCTGTTTCATTAGGGTGCACGGTGTGGAGAGGGCCTGCGCTTCAGGAACGTGTCCTGCTTTGTGTCCGATGGCTCGGGGAAGGATCCGGGCAGTATGGTGGATGAGGAACTGTGCGGAGACCTGGAGCAGACAGTGGATGAGGACAAACAGATCATCCTGCAAGAGTCTTGCACGGTGCCCTGCCCAGGTATCAACTATTGCCACGAATGTGATGACATGCTGTTGAAGGCAAGCATTGAAATTGAAGCGCCTCACTGATGTAAATCTTGGGTTCAGAAACTGACATTAATTACATGATTAAGTACATAAATATTTGTTACAATATACACTACTATTCAAAAGTTTGGGATCAGTAAATTTTGAGTTTGCTTATTTCTTTTATTTTATTTTTTCATTCTGCAATGTTACTATCAAAAGTATCATTAAAGACATTTGTAATCTTACAAAAGTTTTCTGTTTCAAATAAATGCTGTTCTTTTTAACTTTTTATTCATCTATGAATAACATACTGAACAACACAATAGTTTTCAACACTGATAATAATAAGACATGTTTCTTGAGCAGCAATATTAGAATGATTTCTGAAGGATCATGTGACACGGATGACTGGAGTAATGGCTGCTGAAAATTCAGCTTTGCCATCACAGGAATAAATTATATTTTTAAATATATTAAAATAGAAAACAGCTATTTTAAATTGTAATAATATTTCTGTTTTTACTGTATTTTTGAGCAAATAAAGCAGCCTTGGTGAATATAAGAGACTTCAAAAACAGTAAAAAATCTGACCAACCCCAAACTTGTCGACGGTAATATGTTTAACACATTTACAGAATTTGATATTTCGGTTTTGTTTTGCTTTCTAAAGATTGGATAAAAAAGAAATCATGAGATTAATTGTAATTGTTTCATTCTATTAAAAGGCAAAAAAAAAATGTAATTAATTTTTAAGAGATATTTAGTAAAGTAAATATCTACATACTATTTTTATTTTATTTATTGTAATGACAATATAAAAGCCAATTATGTAGTGTAGCAAAAATATATCATGCTTTCTCTCAAGGAGAGAAAAAAAAGAACTCTCAAACAGTATAAATTGGCCATTATACTGGACAATATATAGATATCTTTATATTTTATGAAGGGGTGTTCTTGCATGGGGATCATCATATTTGGTTGTCCTGGGCATCAAAAAGTTTGAAACTACCTGATCCATAGGAGTGCATTAGAGAAAAGTCTCGTGTTTATAGCAGTTCACTTTTAAATCTGTCAGACCTACTTTGGCACATTTACAAGGCAGCTTTTATGAGGCACTGTGTGAAATATTCACTGGGATATCACACAACTATAATTCAACACCCTCAAATACCTTACTGTATTACCTCATGCAACAAGATGGAGAATTAAACTTCATGGCTTGTTGTCCATTATTATACTGTAATTACACAGGAAATGAATGGAAACAAAGTTATTTTCAGACAGGCTTTTGATAGCTTTTTATTTCAGCAGGTGAGTGACAGATAATAAGACAATATTTTGACAAGTCCTTTGTGGCAGCAGGAGAGGGTCATGATTGAGGTTTTTTATGGGGACAGTAACAACACACCAGCGCATGCAGTGCAGATTTGTGTTGTGGTAGGGTAAGTTACATGATGCTTTGCTCTCAGTGTAGTTGTGGTTTTTGCTTTTTTTAGAAAGTTGCACAGTGCTTCACTCGCTCTGACCTTTGACCCCATCATTCATTCTTCATTCTTGAAGCGTAGCTTCCTGGCACACATCCAGTCTCGCCCCGATTTATAAAACTCCAGCTGTGACCTACTGCTGTGCTCCCTCTGTCTTCACATTTTTTTCCTGTTCCGGTCTCTTTTTTCACACAAATGTTTCTTAAATAATGATGATGTGCCGCTTGTGCATGTGAATATTCATCCCAGTGTTGTGTAACTTCATTAGCTATTCACACAAAGACTCGAGTGTACTCTGTGTACTCAGGTGTCACATCTGCCTCTGGCTTTCCACTGCGCACGTGCTCTGATAATCACGATCATAGGATTAGGGCTTTATGGAAGGACAACTTTCTGAATAATTAATACTCTGGGAAATATTCACAAATCAGGGCTACTATTACAACAGGACAGACTGACCTACTTCTGTTGAAAAACACCCTGAGATCACTCACAAAAAAACATGGAGTCTTAATATCCTGGACAAAGAAATAGAAAGTCTGCAAGCGGAATTTGTTAGTTTTGGACCCAGTAGGTTGAAACTGCAAAAACATTTTGGTTCTTTAGGGTTTTAGATTAAATCTATTAATTAATCACTAAGCCCACACAGAATATGTGCCTGGAGCTCCTCATACATCTCTAATGGACTTCTGTAAAAACTTTGTCACTTGCAAAGTTTATTTGTTTATTTAACATTTTGGTGAATTTGATTATGCCTTCAGCTACCAGTCACTCCGTAGAACTCTCTGCACCATTTGAAATCAACTTTCAGCAAAACTCATTTATAGCTGTCACATTTTAAATTTAAAATTAGAATAAAAAAAGGTTTACATTTCAATTTTGTGACTAGTGTGTGTGTATATATATATATATATATAATAAAAAAAAATTTTAAGCAACCTTTGCAAATGCCAATATCAATCACCTATTAATTTTCTAACAGAGGTGTTAATGTATTCGGCAGGTGAGTGTTACCTGACAGACTGGACTGTGTGGAGCCCGTGTCAGCTGAGCTGTATCAGCGGGGACGATCTGGGCTTCGGTTCGATGCAGGTGCGTTCTCGTGCTGTTCTAGCTCAGGAACCTGAGAACCTTCTTCAGTGCCCAGAACAGGAATGGGAAGCCAGGCCATGTACAGGTCAGTCAAAATCAATGCATTTAGGGCAGACAATGCAGTTTCACTGTAAAAATAAATTCTGAAATTGTAAATAAAACAAACATTACTGGAGTATGTTTGAGTTCAAAAATGCTATTTCATCTTCATAATTTCAAGTTTAATCCTGTGTTACTTGCTGATTTTTTGTGAAATTTACTAGCAAGTTTCTGAGTGAAAATTGTCTCTTCATCGTTTATTTTTTTTTTCATTGTAGATACCTTTATTAAGCCTACATATTTTAATGTTTTAACAGTTATGGGTTTCATTATTTTTTTCTGAATGTGCCACTGTTAATACTGTTCTATGTTTTAAGAGGGCCAGTGTTATGAGTACAAATGGATGACCGGTCCATGGAAAGGCTCGTCTCGACAAGTCTGGTGCCAGCGCTCTGATGGATTGAATGTCACAGGTGTGATAGATAGATAGATAAATAAATACATACATAAACAAACAAATATTTTTGTGTTAATACATAAGTAGTTTTATAAATTAATATTTGTATTATTCTTTTTTTTTAGTCCTTTATATATAGGAGGAAAGAAAATAATGGTGCATCCCCAGGTGCACAAATTGTAGAAGCAGAGATAAGCCATACTGTATCTGCTTTCGATATTCAGAGAAATAAAACAATGAAACCATCACTATGACAGAAGCATCAATATTCTCTCCTCAGAGAGTGTTTGATGACATACTGTGGTTTGAGATAAAGTTGACGTCCTGTACTGTCATTTCCTGTCAGAAAGACTGAAGTGTACGCTGCCTCCTCTTATACATTTGTATATACTTTATGGAAATAAGCTTTTAATCCATGCCAATGTGACACCCACATTTAATCCCATTCACCATCATGCCAGCTGTCCTCCCATGTTAATGTGTCTGTGTGTGTATTTCTACGTCTCTCCCTGTTTTGGTGCAGGTGTGGAAATACACGGGAACAGAAATATGCCCATATCCCTCACACTCTGCTGAAGAACATCATAAATGCATTGCAAAATGAGATTTCAGTGAGCTTTGTATGCCATAATTATACCAAATGGAAGCTTGGAATCAGTTCCTCTGATTTTCAAATGTTTATTTGTCCTCTGTGTCGAGCCGTCCAAACTGACCTCGTTCCAGATGGCACACATGAATCTGGTCACTTGTGATTGGCAGAACAGGGCAGCAGAACTTCTAAGGCTGTAATCAAACCCTCTACAGCAACCAGGTCCCTGTTTATGCATATTCATGAGTTATATTAAGGTGTGCAGAAGTATGAATATTCATACAAGCTGCTAATTGGTAAACATGTTTCTGCAGATGCTTACAGTTTATAGTGCACCTATAAAGAAGAGATCTTTTAACATCTTATTGCTAATGATGAATTTTTACATCAAAACACACAAAGAGAAAACGCATGGCCAATTTTCCAAGTATCACCCAGTAACCAGCTTTCTGATTTACACTAGACACAAATGTCACATCTAGTACTGGTTGTGGCCTTAACAATTGTCATGGTATCTGGCAGCAGCAGTCGAGGGTGGTTCCGGCATTAGGGAGCAGTTCTATTTCACTGCTCTCATTGTTGATTGGATGTATTGATTCATCCCAGCTTGGAGAAAATAACACCCCTGCACTGGCCGCCGGCTGCCCATTTCAGTTCTTTTATAGATCCAGTGGATTCCCACAGGCTGCGATTTGTAGAGAGGAAGATGGAAAGAGATCGTACACATAGGCGACCCAAGAAAAGGATCGTTTTTAATTGTGTTGGCTGACAATAAAACTGGCAAAATCCCATAGACTTACATTGACAGAGTAGCTCAAGCTTGAAGATCGAGGGAACAGTATATCATACAGACTGAGAATGTGCTAGAAATTATGTAAAAATGTCCTTGTAACCCCTCAGAACACCTTAGCAACCATCGAGAAATTCCTAGTAAAAAATTCTAGAAAACACTCAGAATACCATGGTCCACAAGGGAGAAAAAGGTTCAGAAAATGTAAAAAATAAATAACTTAGTGAATACATATATATTAAACATTTAATATATTATATTCCTAATTATTTTATTCTATTGACAGCCATAGTTTTATGTTTTCCTTTAGTTTATACATCTAACTATGAAGTCCATGTCCACCGCATAAGAAAACAAAAAACAAAAACAATATTTTGGTAATTCATAATTCTGAAATAAAATCATAATTGAGAGATAAAATGTCAAAATTATAAGATAAAAAGTCATAATTATGACATGCGTAAAAAATTTTGAGATAAAAAGTCACACTTATGACATAAAATATAGATGTCCATGTCTAACAGCACTAATGGTGTGTAGAAAAAAATACATGATGTTTAATAGATTACATCTAAATATGAGCTCCTTTTTTCTGGATATTTTACATATACATACATTTTTAACACTGTAAATTGGCTACCATATTTTAGGAAGGGGTTTCTCAGAAAGAGGATCATCATATTTGAGGGGTCCATGGCATAAAAGAAAAAGTATGAAAACCAAAAGCATTGTGACACTGAGTTTTGCACTGCCAAGCACCACAAATCTAGTTGAGTTTTTATTACTGCCTCATGCCTATCAGTTAACACATCAGTAATATCATAACACGGGAGGTTTTAAGCATGAATTAGATTGGAGTGAAGAGTGTCTGGCACTCTTTAAGCATTACCAAAGAGATTGAAATAGAGGATGAATGTGGGAGAGCAACAGAATGTAGAGTCTTTGATGCCTCCTGCCTCCAGGACAATACTGTGGCTGAAAATGATCATGTGCTTGTTTGTGTGTGTGACCGTGTCATTAAACAATGTTTACATAAAACTTTGAACTTCTTTGCCTGCAGGTGGATGCCTGTTGACAAGCGAGCCGGTATCTGACAGGTCATGTGACCCAGCCTGCGACAAACTTCGCTCCTACTGCACTGAGGTTAGTATGTGTGCATGTTAATGTGTGGACGCCTGCTGAGGTGGGATGCTGGGATGCAGGCAGACTGTAAACAGGGTTGCATGGATATTCAATACAGCAGGATTAGACTTCCTACAGAGGAGAGAGATAGTCTTGAAATGTTTAATGGGAAATGCTGGAACATGAGAACCAAGATGCACTGGCTATAATAGGAAAAGTTGATATCCGCTTATCAACAGAAACCATCTTAATAACCTTAGATGGAAACTTATGAAGCCACTTTACTATTCAGTCTTTTTCTGATAAAAATAACAGTGTTAGCCTTATGCATGGAATTTATCAAGCACCATGACCAATGTCAGAGGATATTAAAAGCAGTAACACTGCTAGTGCTGTAGAGATCAGTACAGGCTAAATAAAACACCTTAGGGAAGATAAGTCACTATCAATTGTGAGCTTTATATTATTCTGGATGGCAGAAGTGTTTTGAGTGGTTGGTGTTTTTGAATGTTTTTATGCTGCATATGCCTTTGATTTGTAAGATCCTCTAAATAAATGATCAATGTGTTTATGGACATATACGGTTGGGATGTGCTAAGATCTCCTTTGCAACTTTCTTAATTGTTATTATTATTGTCATTATTATTATTATTATTATTGATCATATTTTAGGTAAAATTAACATTGTTAACCAAACCGTTACTAGAATAAATTGTAAAAAATAAATAAATAAATACAATAATCTCTTTTCAAAAAGAAAACAATTTATGCATTTAGCAGAAGCTTTTATCCAAAGCGATTTCCAGTGCATTCAGGCTATACATTTTTTTTACCAGTATGTGGTTAGTATATAGTTAAAATGAATAGAACTACCCTTTATTTTTATTTTATTTTAAGAATCTCCTTTGCAACTTTAGTTTTCTTTAATTGAACTTCTTTAATTTAATTTAATTTCTTTAAAATATTATTGTAATTTCCAATTAACAATAAAACAATTATTAGAACAAATTAGTTTCCATTAAAAAATAATCATGTATAACTAGTCTACAGAACTCAAGAACTCAAATGGTGCACTATACTGTACACTATGCACGTATATTATGCACCATGTACTCAGTCTAGTATGAATTTCACATGCTTATTTTGTCCAGCACCAGAGTCTGATAGTCTCTTCACTACGTAAGCAGAACTGAGACTATTGAGTGCATGAAGTGTCCAGCATTCCACACTTTTTTTTTTTCACGGTTATTAAAGTGCATCAGCCAGGTATTTCAAGTGCACTTATTCATTTTGGAATTTTACATAGAATAATGCACAAGTGCGTAAATTGGGATGCACTTCATGTCTGTTTGTCCTCCTCACAGCCATATAGAAATGGTGAATACTTCCAGCTTATACGATCACATGACAAAACATCTTGTTTGTTTGCAGATAATCCTACATATAAGATGTAAACATTCATTGTGACCTACCACATTTGTCCTCCAGTGTGCGATTTCCCCCACTGCATATGAACTGAATGTTGTATACAAGTGAAGATTGTGAGCGTGTCTGAATCGGGTCTCCTGCTGTGTAGTGAATCCCTCTACTGTGGGAAGAAACCGACTGTATTCATATCAGATTCTTCTGCTACATCCAGACCTGCTCTTCTGTGCCCATCTTTAGAGATGCAAATACCCCAGTGCATTCTGGTTTTACCGTGATCACACAGATCTGACAAGGGTTGTGTTTGCGCGTGGGCCGATTATCCTCCCAAGATTGCAGTGGGAATAAGAGACCCCCTGCAGACGGCAGGAACCTGGGGGTTTCTCCACATATATTTACACACAAGCACTCAGGCCTGAGTATCGGTGATGCTCGTGGAGATCCAAATGTCTCGTCAGTGGTAGAACACATGCTGGAATGTATCTTATCAACACCCACACTTGAATGTGCACTCGTAGCCTTCAGGATTCACATGATCTTGATGTTTTCCAGAACGAAGAAACACTTAAATAGCACAAGGAACACAAAAATTATCTTTGAAATGACAGCTAGATGCTGCAGAAATATTTTTAGCATCTAACAGAGCTGTTTGAGAGAGCTGTTAGCTGAAAGAAAGAACATGACACTGGTAGAGAGTAAGCTAAGCGATAGTCGCAGGAGGCGGAAAGTGAATTCAATTAGCAGCTGTTTAGAGGCCGAGGGAATGCTGCGAATAGAAAGCTGTCTGTGTTTTTAACACAGTGTTTGGTATGAGTGATTTTCTGCTTCCATTATATTTCAGGTAGCCACACTCTGGCGCCAGTTGCATAAACATTGTCACCATGTTAAAGGCCCATTCACACCAAGAACGATAACTATACTAGCGTTCACACCAGCGGACGATATTGTCTGTTTATTCCAAGCGCACACTCGTCTGCCACATTAAATTCTCAAACTTGTTATGGCAGGATTGATGCTGATTGGCTGTCACTGTTTTTATCGTTCATCAGCTGGAAAAAAACATTCTCAAAGTGATTCCAACAATATCGTTTCTCTGTCTTTATCGTTATAACTGTGGTGTGGACTCTGCCATTCTTTAATATTCAGAATGATTTTTAGAACTATATCTTTATCTTTATAGTTATCGTCCTTGGTGTGAACAGGCCTTAAGACTGTGTCTTAAGAACTAGTTTGACTAACTAGCAGTTAACCAAGTGGTTATCAGACTTACTTTTCCGACTCAAATGAGGTCAATCTACGTTTTTATGTAACTGGCTTTAAAAAGGTATGACCAGTCTTGCAGAAAAAAATTTGGTGTCTAACTTTTAAGACCAGTCTAAACAGTTTAACTGGCCACTGAACTGACAGCATCAAATTATTCTGCAGTTTATTCTGGCCGAGACGTTACCAAATGCTTCAAGTAATGTTACATGTTGAAACATTTTAATGTACAATTGATAAGACGAAACAGTTTAAGTCATGAAATAAGTCCTGATTAAAAAATAATGATATTGTACCTCTGAAATCAAATAAACAATAAATGTTAATAGTGGCCGTTACTGATATAGTCACTGATATATTATGAATCCCTGTTTAAATGCCTTGTCTGTTTTTTCTAAACTTTACTAAAATATATAATATAATTATTGTTTTAAAGTACATTACTGTTCAAAAGTGGGTAAAGGGAGGGTAACATTTTTAATGATTTTGAAAAATAAAAGTCTCTTTTTCTCATCAAGGCTGCCTTTTTAGATAAAAAAATGCAGTAAATAACGGTATTTTTTTTATTTTTAAGCAATATTTTGAAATATTATTACAATGTAAAATAACTCTTTTCTAGAAGTGGCTGGAAGACCTGCCAAGAGAGCATTGCAATAGTCCAGCCTGGACAGAACAAGAGCTTGAACAAGGAGTTGTGTTGCATGTTCTGAAAGCAAAGAAAGGGCCTGATCTTCCTAATGTTGTATAAAGTAAATCTGCAGGACCGGGCAGTTTTAGCAATGAGAAATTCAGTTTATCGTCAATCATAACTCCAAGGTTTCTAGCTGTTTTTGAAGGAGTTATGGTTGATGAGCCTAACTGGATGGTGAAATTTTGATAAAGTGATGAATAGAATATATTATATATTTATATATATTAATATATTTCTATTAGAATGTATTTTAAAATGTAATTTATTCATGTGATGGTAAAGCTGAATTTTCAGTAGTAATTTATCCAGTCTTCAGTGTCACATGATTCTTCAGAAATCATTCGAATGTGCTTTTTTTTTCAGGATTCTTTGATATATAGAAAGTTCAAAACAGCGGCATTTATTGTGAAATGGAAATCTTTTGTAACATCATAAATGTCTCATCACTTTTGAATGAATCAATTTAATGCATCATTGGTAAATAAAAATATAAATTTATTTAAAAATAATAATAATAATAAAAGCATTGTTTTATTGTGTACTGTATGCTGCTTGTCTGTTATAAACGGTACCGATTCATGTGTGTAACTGGTGCAATGTCTCCCCCTGCAGGCTGGTGTGTGTGGCTGTGAGGAGGGTTACACTGAGGTGATAACGTCTGATGGAATGTTGGACCAGTGCACGGTCATACCGGTGCTTGAGATCCCCACCGCAGGAGACAGTAAGGCTGACGTGAAGACGATCAGAGCCCTCAACCCCACTCAGCCCTCCGCCAACCTGCCAGGCCGCTCCGGACGCACCTGGTTCCTGCAGCCCTTCGGACCCGGTGAGTTTATGGCTTTATATAACTCTGAGATGGTTGCAGAAGACCAGCTTAGAGACATGTTCACAAGCATATTCACAAGACTAATATTTTCACACTAGCTACTGCTAACTATCTTTAACTCTTTTTGTGTATAACAAGGCTTAACAAGAACAAATACAGTGGCCACGAAAGTATTTAGACACAAATGTCTGAATTAAAAGTATATAGGTTTGTTTGCGATATATAAGTTCAATATCACAACATTTTAGGCACATTTTACATTTTTTAGATATAAATGATAAAACAATAGAAATTTTGTTCAAAACAATAATAAAGTGCTACACATTTTTTATTGCTAATTGTACAACACAAGACAGGGAACATCAAACAACATACTCAACAGAATACCTGAACAGTTGAACAGAATACCTTTGGCCATTTTTGCCTGTTGTGTTGGTTCTGAACTGCTGAGATGCAGCTGTGTATTTGTGCTGATGTGTGTGTGTATCCGCACAGATGGCAAACTGAAGACCTGGGTGTATGGTGTGGCAGCTGGAGCTTTTGTACTGCTAGTGTTCATTGTCTCTATGACTTACTTAGCCTGGTAAGAACATTTGTTATAACAGCAAACTAGATATTTTGTTCATTCCATACATTTACTTTATTCATCCTTTTCATCATTTATGTTAATCCATGTAAGTTGCTTTCAAATTCACTGCAAAAATCATTTTCCTAATCAATATTTTTGTCTTGTCCACTAAAAATATTGAAAAATTCTTAAGATAAAATAAAACTTTAATATTAAAATGTTACATGAAGTAAAAACATTCAGGAAATATATTTTAAAATATTATAAGTTAAATAAATTATTATATTTACATTCTTTTTTCCTGTGGTCTTTAACCTTAAACCTTACTAAATATTGTTACATTCTGAAAAAAAATTAAAGAAGAAACTTTATTCAAAATATATTCTCTAAAAAAAATTATTTTAAGGATTCTTGCATAGTTTTCCTAAAAGACAAGACAAAAATACTGATTCAGATTTTCCTTTTCTTTTTCCATGTATTTCACTTTTAATTTGTCTTCCCAACTCCTTCATATTGATCAGTTTTTGTATGCTGGCCCGGCGCTCTCCTCCGAGTGCCTCTGTGGTTTGGGTCGGACCCAACGACCAAGAGCTGATATACACCTGCCCTGACTGTCAGCGCATTGAGACTCAGTTCAACTAGAGCTCTCAGCTCAGTCCCCTCCCTCATGGCCTTGCCCTGTGGCCAGCCATGTCCATCACTTACGCCTTCTCACTGTCACATGTGACTTTCTGACCAATCACATGGAGCTGTTTGGAGGAGGTGAGCAGGAAGATTTAGTAGTCTAGCTCAGTGGTTCCCAACCCTGGTCCTGGTGGCACCCCAACACTGCACATTTTGCATGTCTCCTTTCTGACACGCCAATTTCAGGTCTTGGAGTCTTTACTAATGAGCTGATGATCTGAATCAGGTGTGTTTGATTAAGGAGACATGCAAAACATGCAGTGTTGGGGTGCCTCTAGGACCACGGTTAGGAACCACTGGTCTAGCTTTATATACACTGCCAAAAAAAAAAAAATCTTCTTAACAAGTCTTTAAATAGTCCCCCCTCATAATCAATCAAATCAAAAATCAATAAAACAATATAAATTCATCCGAACAACAATTGTTGCTAACCTGTAAATTTATACTTTAAAAAAATTGGAGGAAAAATCTGTTGGTGCAGACAAAATTCACTAGTTTTCAAGACATATTCTCTATAAAAAATGCATTATGGAGTGATTTATCATTAAATATGTCATAGAATGTTGCAGTAAATAAATAAAATGACAATGAAATGTAAGCATAAATAAATATGGTGTAAAATAATCTTAAATACACCTTAAAATGAAAATTCTTGTGAAATATGAAATGAAATAATGCAGACAATATAACACAAATGCATTTCAACATGCCATGACATATTTTATAATATCATATATCTATTTATTCAATTAAATAATAGTTTATTCGGTTAAATCACTTCATAATGCACTGCTTCTTCTCAAGTAAACTGATCCCATTTCAAGAATTTTTAGATATTGTAACTGGACATTAAGACTTATTAAGAAAATGCACATTAAGAATGGGATTTTTGCAGTGTATCCATTCAAAGCTATATGATTAATATATTCCAGGAAATGTTTGAATATACATTCACTTCACGTTCACAACTCTTTCCTGCTGAGTTTAGCTCCAACCTTGATCAAACTCACCAGTCTGTAAGTTTCTAGTGATCCTGAGGACCTTAATGAGCTTGTTCAGGTGTGTTTGATTAGAGTTCAAATCTGCCAGAGTTGAGAACCCCAGCATTAGGCACATATTGTAGTCAGTTTCTGTACCCACACTGCCCCCTGATGGTTAGGTCTAACATAGCCATCATCATCATCATCATCTTCTCAGAAATTCTTCTTTTTATTATTATTATTATGATTTGATGCAAAATACTGACATATTCCTTGAAGTTCACCTTATATTAAAAAAAAAAAGTTCTGATACTAGTGTATGACTTTTGAGCTAAAACCATGACACTAAGGTTTAGAGGATGTTGTATTCACACGTGTCCCTATCTCTGTGTCATAGTACTCACTAAGGTAAGTTTGATTTGTAGAGTTTAGTTGGCTGGAACGTGCTGCTGGCTTCACTGTTCCCTCCATTGCTAAAGCTATGCTTCCTGTAAAAGTTAGCATGGCAGCTAATTACTAATCATAACAATTAATAATCAGTGCTAACAATTTTTAGTATCTGTCTTCGTCATATCAGAAAAATCCCTAGTTAAATATTGAATTAAAAGTTGCAAAATAATACATTGTTATTATATAAACATTTCCATTAATTAAAATGTTTGAACATTTAATGTATGTAGCTGTTTACTAATGAAAAAATTCTCATTTTCATTTTTTTTATTAAACTAAAATTTAAATAAAAATAATCACATTTATTTAGACATTTTTACCAATAAAAATACACCATAAAATTAATATAACTTTAAAATCAAAATGGAAAATTTAAAAATAAAAACTAATTTAAAACGGTAATAAAAACTATAATAATATCCCAATTATACTGGAATAACAGTGGTGCAGTATGTAATCTTATAGTGGTATAAGCTACTGTACATTAGATTCATCTATTGCATGATAAAAAAGACCTTTACTAGAGCATGGCAACCAGCAGCAGTGCATGGACGTCTAACAACACAAAATGCCTTCGAAAAACACACATGCAAGGCATTTCAATATTGCAAAACATTTAAAACATTTGAATAAACAGATGCAATAGATATAGAGGTGACAGATTTAATGCAATGTTATACAGTGTAAGATGTTAGCCAGAAAGCTAAAAGTCTATTTCTTCAGAAAATCTAATATTATAATATCTAATATTATAGATCTTGATATGAAGGTAAACAACCTTGCTATCATATTGCATCTGTTGAGGCAAAATGTAGTTGCTTTGTAATAATAGCTATTTAAATGTTATTTTTTTCCCCCAGCAAAAAGCCAAAGAAGCCCCAGAGAAGACAGATGAACAACAGACTCAAGCCTCTGACGCTGGCTTACGATGGCGACGCTGATATGTAGCCTAACCACGTTTGCTTCGTACTACAGATACTCGCCTCCTTTCACAGTCGGCCATCGGTGCAAGCCTCGAACTAGGAGACTCGCACAAATTCACCGACTGCTTTTTATAAAACGCTAATGGAACCTCAGAGAGAGACTCGATCCATGTTTATATAATGTTTCTCCCCCCTCCTTTTTTTACGTTCAAGGTTTTTTTTTTTTTACTTTATTTCACGAGAGCCTTCATAAACTCTTCACAAATCTTCTTCAGGAAGTCTGCCTTCACCTCTCTGCCATTGACATCTTGCTGTAACATAGACTTGCAGGACCCTTTTTAAATATAAAGACGTTTTTTGCTGAGAAAGCACAAAATATGCCCGTCTCCTGTTTAGTCGCCCTTTTTGTCAGCTCTTGCAATATGTACATTGTCTGTGGCTATTGGGAGGTCGCATGTTCGTACAACCAAAATACACCAATTAACTTGCTAGTCGAATTTTCAGCCCTGAAACGTTCTTTGATTTCTGTCGGATCCTTCTTCGCATCAATATTATGTGATCAGAAGGATTAAAGACTGCAGATTGAATGGGCTCACTAGCGCCCCTATATAAACTCTGGCCTGCCTTTCCTCCTTTCTGTATTCAGGCTCCATTTTGCACTATATTAGTGCAGCATGAACATTTACTTATAGCATTGCCATAGAAAACTGCCTCTCGCAAAGCAAGATGATGTACAGTCTTGTGCTAGACACATTTCTTACAACAACAAAAAAAGAGCGAGAGAGAGAGAACAAAAGTAGCCCTTTTTCTTCTGATGGAACTCACTGGTGTTTGTTTATACATACTTGTTTACTGGTTGCCTCCTGTTTGTGATAAAGGGGCCCTTGAAAAGATTTGTGTGGACTCCACAAACCCCCCTGTTGTATGTACAGTAGCAATCAGCCACGTGTTTGCTTTCTTTGCCTGATTGACTCTTGTATGTTTTAATGGTTCTTTTCACCTTAGAGATCCAGGTCGGTGAAGTTTACCATGTGTTTCAGTCTTTCGTCTCTGATTCTAAGGGCTCTGTGTTCATAATTCGAGCGCTTAAAGAATCACTATGTAACTTTTCTGTGTTCAAAATTTGCAAAATGTATATAATGAGCGAGAACATCATGAATTCAACTTCCAAACCCTTTTTTTGTCTTATTCCGAATCACTACGGTACACTTATAATAAGTACTTATATTTGGACTATTGTAGCCTGGTCGGGTCGTCACCGCTGCGGAGTAACACAAACCTGCGTGAATCGCCATAGACATAAACTTAGAGAAGTAGCTCCGGTTGGAATGTTCTTCTGCGGGATGTGTGCAGTTCTGTTTATTAACCGCTTGAGCGCCAAAAGTTACATAGTGCTGCTTTAACAGTATGGTGTTTGATTTACTGATCCTACTGTGTCTGCGCCTGTGCCAGTTCTGTTTGTAGTTTATATAATGTGACTAAAACAATAACAGCAGGCAGTTTCATATCAACTAGATTCGGAAAAAACTAATAGTCTGATATTGAAAGATTACTTTTGGAAACATTCATTTGACATTATTACATGTTACAAACCTGATTTGAGGTTGAACAAATCTCAGCTCATTAATTTAGATTAAAGAAATGCTGTGGTTTGTGCTGGGACATTATGTAAGGGATGATGTGCAGGTTATTATAGCAAAATAACCCCTCATTTGTATTAGATCAGCATTTCTAATATAAATATTAAGAGACTTAAAAAAACAGAATTCAAGTTAAATTGAAGTACTAAAATTAAAACTAAAACTGAAATAAAAAGTAAATAATGTAAAAATTAAGTAAAAATGGACCATAGGAAATAAAAGCTAATATGAATAGATAAATAATACTAATATAACACTGGTGATAATTACCAGCTTGCTGTACACTCTCCTGCTTATTACACGGTTATTTGGCAAATCAATACACATTGGCATTCACAATTGTTTTAAGTTTAAATTATAAAGCTTACGCTACGGAAAAAAAAAAGTTTGTTACAAAATACAGAACAGTTGGCCTAGCAACAAGACAAACACTGCAACATTACAGTAATATTAATATTGAAGACATTTAATGTGATACATTAACTGAGACACAAGATGGCGCCAGTTGAGATGTCAAGATGACTTGAAAGTAGTTGCCATGAATGAGGATTGACTGCACTCTAAAAAAATGCTGGGTTAAATATAACCCAGCGCTGGGTTAAAAAGGGACAAACCCAGCTATTGGGTTGTTTTGACCCAGTGGTTGGGTTGTTTTGACCCAGCGGTTGGGTTGTTTTGACCCAGCGGTTGGGTTGTTTTGACCCAGCGGTTGGGTTGTTTTGACCCAGCGGTTGGGTTGTTTTGACCCAGCGGTTGGGTTGTTTTGACCCAGCGGTTGGGTTGTTTTGACCCAGCGGTTGGGTTGTTTTGACCCAGCGGTTGGGTTGTTTTGACCCAGCGGTTGGGTTGTTTTGACCCAGCGGTTGGGTTGTTTTGACCCAGCGGTTGGGTTGTTTTGACCCAGCGGTTGGGTTGTTTTGACCCAGCGGTTGGGTTGTTTTGACCCAGCGGTTGGGTTGTTTTGACCCAGCGGTTGGGTTGTTTTGACCCAGCGGTTGGATTGTTTTGACCCAGCAGTAGGATTGTTTTGACCCAGCGATTGGGTTCAAAACAACCCAACCGCTGAGTCAAAACAACCCAATAGCTGGGTTTGTCCCTTTTTAACCCAGCATTTTTTAGAGTGTACTTGAGTATTCCAGAGAGCCGTGGAATACGTGTTTGTAACATTCATTTTTCAAAGGAAAATATAATTTTCTTTTTTTTCTTTCTTTCTTTTTTCTTTTATTATAATTTTTTTTAATGTATTTATTATTATCAAGGTTTTTTTGTTTGTTTTTTTGGGGGGGTTTGTTTTATAAGAGTGCAGGTTATTTGTCACCATGCCATGAACCTGCATATAGATAATCGCACACCAACATAATTGGTTATGAAGATATATGGATTCAGATATGACTGAAATGGGCATCAGTGTCACCAACCTTCTAAAAGTTGGGTAAAAAAAGCACAAATAAGTAAATTAGGGCCACTTTTTTTTCCCAAAACCATATCTACAGTGAATGAACTATGGGCGCTATTGATCTCTAAAGGCATATCATTGAATTTGCTTTCAAATGCGACGGATGAAAGGAATGTTTACTTATGTGTTAATACTTGTTTTGTTAATTTGTAAATACATGAATGATCTTTTATTTAATAATGATTTCTTTATGACATATAAATTTGTTAATTTCTTTTTTTTTGCTACGCAGTGTTTATAAACCTTTCGAAGTGTGTCTGACAGCATGTGTGTGTAGAGGGAGTGTGTGTGTGTGTGTGTGTGTGTGTGTGTGAGAAAGAGAGAGTCTATTGTTACTGATCTTCGCTGGGGCGAACCAAGTTACTGTGTGAAAATGTTGCTTTCTTCTTTTCCTACAGGTTGTTTATATGTGTCTGATGAGTTGCTGATAATAAACAAGAAAAACATTGCTGTACGTGTAGCTCATTTTAGTTTTAATTTCATTTTAACTTGCCAGTTGCATTGTCGGCATCAAAAAATGCACATTTATATGCTTTGAAAGATAACGTTGAAGATATTGCAATTAATTTCGTGCAGATGGAAGATATTTTCTTTAAGAGCATCCCAGTTTTGACTCACTGTTTTTGAATTGATACATTCACTTAGCATGATGTGACACAAAACTGAGATCACTTAAAAGGGGACATATGTTGAATATGCATTATGAATTGATAAGATAGAAGCATCCGGGTTCGATTGGGATATAAATACGGAGTCAAAGTGTTTGTCTTTGTCGCATTCTGCAGCCAATCTGTATGACTGTTGACCTTTCTTACATGAAAGAAATTTTCAAAAAACATCTCTTTCCTAATTGAGACTAATGTCCCCAACATGCAGTAAATTAATTTTCTTCCTAAAATTAAAAAAGCAAAACTAATATTTAACAACTGGCTTCAAATGGATTTATCTTTTCTTGGTAGAGTTCTTTTAATAAAATCTGAAGGTCTGTCTCGCTTCATATACCCATCTTTTTCATTATTTGTCCATGATAATACCTGTAAACAAATTCATAGTTTATTGTTTAACTTTTTTGGGGGGGAAAATAAACATCAACATCTAAAGAAACAGGTTTTATGTGGTAAAAAAGCGGATGGAGGTTTTGTCATGCTCATTTATTTATTTATTTGATGTTAATAATACTTTCAAAGTGAATTGGGTAAAGAATTGTGTCAATTCACCAGACTCTATTTGGTATTTTATCCCACACTATATCTATAAAAAAGTGGGAGGGCTTAAGTTTTTGTTAACCTGTAACGTCTCCGCTTCTAAGCTCCCCATGAAGCGTTCTAAATTCCATGAACAGGCTCTACTTGCATGGAAACTTTTTTTAATATATTTTCTCCCCACTTAAAATGATACTAAAGTATTCTAGCAAAGAAGAAGTTGATTTTTCTTAAGAAATGTCATGAAAAGGTATTGATTATCTTTGTGATATGCTAGATCCACAAGTGAATGTTCATTCTTACCATGCTTTCATGTCTACATGTAATTTTCCTGTTGTCCATAAGGAATTTCTCATTTCTTACAATGGTAAAAGCTATCCCGAATGGTCTTGTTCATTTAATGAGATGTCATTTATCATTTGAAAAGGTTGTAAAGAGTAAACAGATTTTTTTTGGTTGAAGATAAGAGTATTAATGACCCAAAATATAGTAATACAATTATAAGGGGAACATTTTTTTGGAATTCCCTAATAGAAAATATTAACTGGAAAAAAAGCATAGCTCTTACCATACAGATTTTGTATCCCCAACAAAGTTAAAGAACTACATTTAAGAATTTTGTATAATATATACCCAACCGACAGATTTCACTAGAATACAGTACATCTAAATTTGGTAATGTTCATTGAATTGTAGTTTCTGTAAATTCAGTTCTGAGTCAATTGATCATCTTTTCCTCAGGTGTCCTCTTGTCAAAGAATTTTGGACTGACCTATCAAAATATATTGCTTCAAAATCCAAATTAGACATTGATTTAACATTATGTGATATAATTTGTTATTTTTCCTCATTGTAATACTAATATAGAATATATAGGAAATGCGTTTATTTTATTGGCAAAATATTTTATTCATAAATGTAAATTCTTCCTTGTCAGGGTTCTGTCACTTCGGTCTAGTTTATTTGTGGTTTTGTGACAGAGCCCTGACACTCCCGCCATGCTGTGTTGCCAACTTAGCAATGTTGTTGCTAAATTTGCAACTTTTCAAACTACACTAGCAACATTTTCTTCCAAAAGCACCTAGCAACAAATTTAGCCATTTAAAAAATGTATTTGGCAACTTTTAGCAACCTTTGATAAGTGACTCAGACAATAAAAAGGCACTCATTTTCCATCCAAATTTCACAAAAAGAGGAAACCAAAGATGCCTAGCAGTACACACATCACGTGAATTAAGTTAGCTGCTATTTGCAATTTAATAATAATAATAACTGAATAATTGTTAATTTATGATACACTTTGTTAGTAGTTTGTACCTGCGATTGTTGTTCAGTTAGTACACTAATAAAAATTTAAAAGATACTAGTAATTTTCCAGGACATTATACATTATCCACTGTAACCCTGTAACCCGAAAACACAATGCGTAATTTAATATGCAGATTAAAAAAACAATACGGAAAAT